CTCTCAGGGCTTTCTGCTCAACACCCAAATGCTTCAAAACATGAATCTAGAAATAATGTGTGTGTCCCCATTTGGAGACTCAGAGAACATTCCTTTTAGAAACATAACCAAAGGTGATCTATCAATCATATGAAAACTAGTATCATTAAAGGAGAAACATTTCTATGCAGACAATTTAATAAGCAGCTACTTCTGTAATATGTTATCCAATTTAAGCAAAATCAATTTATGACAACATAAAATAACAAAAAGATAAATTGAGGAGAGATCATTTAGTGGTAAATGAATTATCCTTCCTTAAATTTAATATGCCTCAAATGTCAAACACTTCATAGTGTAACTGGAATAGTTTCATTTTGCAAGCTCTTTAGGGAATGTTACCTCTGGTTACGTGATCCCAAATTTTCTTGGTTGTTTTCATATTCACAGAATGAAACAATCTCAGGAGTTAGAAAGGGCTTTGGTGCTTGTCTAGTCCAACTTTCATCAGCTACAAAAGCTCATTCTGTAACACCCCAGGAAACAGTATCAAGCCTTGTTTGAACATTTTTTAACACTGAGATCTGACTTGGGGAACCCAAACTACTACTTCAAAAAGTGAAAATAAAAGAAACCATACTTTGGTGTGATTTTAAAAGAGGTTCCAATTTCTCCGCTTGCTATTCTGTCCCAACCTTGACCTCCTGGTCTTGGACAGTACCTTCTAAGTAGTAATCTGTTTCACTCTTTCATTGTCTGCTGCTGCTGTAGTAATGGTTTATAAAGTCCTGTGGATGCTGAATTAGTGAAGACAGAACCGATGCTCCCTGGGAAACTCACGACTGGATTCTGCAAACCTCGGCTGAATGCTTATCAAGTAATCAGTACACAATCTTGCTTTACATATGTTTCTGTTCCAAGACACATTATGTAATAAATATTTTTGATTTGTTAACAATTCAACTCAGGGCCAAGAGTTCTGTAACTCTTAAATCATGCCTGAACCTAGCATGTGTTTTCTCTTTAAGGCACCTCCCTGCCTCCTTGTGCTGAGGTCCCCAGCTAGCACCTCTGCACCATGGTTGGGGCCCAAGTTAAACTGGAAAATCACTTCATAAAGCACAAAAATGTAACACATGTGATACTCAGTAGACCAGTAAAAGACACTGCTTACAGGATGAGCACTGCAACAAGACGGCAGTGTCATCTTGTTCTACAGCTGGGAATCTCAGGGAAAAAAGTTGTAACTGCTCTGTCCATGGCTATGAATGAGCACCAAATACACATGCATTTTTGAAAGTAGACAAATTTGCAAATAGGAAATCCATGGATAAAGAGGAATGATTGGGCAAAGGGAAAAACAAACAAAACAACTCACTACTGAGCACCTACTTATTAACAGTAACAGGCCAAGTTGCCTGAAGGCAATAAGGATTTGGGGAAAATAGTCTCTAACACAAATAGTTTTCTGACACAAGCGTAAATAAAACCATAAAAGGAAGATCGTGATAAACTAGTGACTTTATTTTTCTCCTTCTTCCTTTCTTTACGTATCCCAGCTCAAATCAAGTTCATGTGAAGTGTGGCAACTGTCATACATTGCTGGTGAGTATAAGAAAATATTCCTCAGGGGGGAGGGAAGGGGTATATTCCTCTGAATCATAACTGTGTACACTCTTTTCTTTTCTTTTACAACTCTATGTGTACACTCTTTGTGGTAGTTTTAAAATATGTCCACACTCTTCTCCTCAAAAGGTGGAATTTAAATTTCTTCTCCTTGGATATATCCTGGACTTACTGACTTGCTTTTAATGAAAAGAAGAAAGCAGCTATGATGGTGTTTGTCTTCTAAGAGCTGGTCATAAAAGGTCCTGTAGCTTTCTTCTTGTTTTCTCACTAGATCACGCATGGGGACAATCAGCTGTCATGTCAGGAAGACACGTAGGCAGCCCTGTGGCAAGGCATGTATGATGAGGGACTGAGGCCTCCATGAACAGCCAAGTGAATCTTTGTGCAAGTAGATCCACCAACCCTGGTCAAGCCCCTGCTTCACTAGCTCTTTGTCTGAAAGACAGACTGAAACTCATGGGAGAATTGGGGCTGGAACCTCCTAGCTTAGCTGCTACTAGACTCTCAGAAGAGAAAAGCTGTGTGAGATGAAAGTTTGTAGTTTTATGCCACTCATTCTAGTTCATACAGCAGCTTGTGATGGTGACCCAGCACTTCTGGGAATTTATCCAACAGGCAGAGAAACAGCCTTTACTCTATAAACACTTCACTATTCAAACTCAAGATCTGATGTACAGTTTTGGAATGAATCCCTTACAAACCAACGTTTTACTGCTCACTATCAGAAGACTCTCAAGGACCCAGTGCATTCAGGTAAAATGGGTTTCCTGGGTGTCTGCTGGAGCTAAGGGGTCCAGGGAGCACAGGTGACAGAACAAGCTCTAAGTCTAGTCATCTCCGTTCGCAACTGGAAAGCAGTTGAACAACAACATTGCAGGGAGCGATTATTAACTAGAACCATATAATGGAATAGAGTCCATACTCTTTAAAAAATAAAAAAGAATTAAGTAGTCTTCTGTACTGATTTGGAAAGATCTTCAGATGTACAGTTTAATGGAGAAGAGGAGGGCAACGTATAGAATAGCATATATTGTATACGATCTTAAAAAATAAACATTGATATTTGCATAAAGAAATGTTCAGAGGAGTCTGCACAAAAAATAAAACTGGCCATCTGCCTGGGAGAAAGATGCATTAACTTTTTACTTTGACTTTTGAGCCAACTGAATATGCTACAATGTAGTCACAAGGATTTCTAACACTGCCAAGGCACAGAAGAACAGTTGACCCTCAACCCAGTTTTCTGACTAGCATGCAGTAACATATGCATGATGATAAGCACAGATAAAAACGGTAAAGTTTCCAAGTTAGAATGAAGTTGTCATCAGTTTCTTCTCTGCATATTCTAGTTATGGTTCAGGGTTAAAAATGTGGTACTAGCTGTGTTCGTTACTTGAGAAGTTCAAAAAATTTCAGAGCTGGAGGAAAAAAGAGGACTAGTGAATTCCAACACTGGCCCCACAGCTCAAGCACCTGGGGAACTACCAAAGTAAATGATCAGGTCCTACCATAAAACCAAACCAGACTGTCATCGCGTCAATTCAACTCATAGCGACCCTACGGACAGGGTAGAACTGCCCCTCTTGGTTTCTGAGACTGTAACTCTTTATGGGAATAGAAAACATCTTCCCACTGAGCAGCTGGTGGTTTCAAACTGCTGACCTTGCAGTTAGCAGTCCAATGCGTAAACCCTAAGTCACTAGAGCTCATCCCAACCATAGACCTACCAAATGAACACTTGGCGGGAGTGAGGGGAGTTGAGGGCCAATGCTGGGAAATTATTTCACACACAACAAAAACAAAAAGGAAAGAATAAAATTCTCCCTGGATTGATTTTGACACTTGGGAGTCCAGTGATGTAGTCCAATCTCTGGACCTTTGCAGCTACACAAAGGTTCAACTAGGATTCAAAGAGATGTTAAACTTTCTCAAAGTTCTAAAGCAGCATTTTTCAAAAAAGAGCCAGTGTTTCAGCATTCATGAATCCCCAGTCCTACCTTCTTCTCTCAACTCCCTCTGGGAAGGACCCAAAAGGAAAGCAGAAAGAAATGCTCTAATTCCACATGTCACTTTTGGTCTCCCTTCTGACTCTAGATGTTTCCTTACTCCTCACCTAATTCACACGCAGGTCTTCCTGTTTCTTTAGCCCTTGAGCTAAGGAGGGGAACTGGACACCTGCCCGGTGGCACGGCCAATACTTTGTAGGCTTAATGTGTCCTAGAGCTGCCTCTGGAAATTTTCCTGATAGTTGAGAGCAGAGACTGACAAGCTAGGGCACTTGGGCCAAATCTGGCCTATCATCTTTAGTCCTAAGTAAAATTTTATTGGGACACAGCCAGGACTACTCATTTTCATATTGTCAACAGCTTTTTGCTTGCTCTAGCGACAGAGTCGAGGAACTGAAATTATCTGGTCCCTTAGAGAAAACATTTGCCAATTGCTGATCTAAAATGATTACCATTACCTCCTTTTCATTAAGGGAAGGAACCCTGGTGGTACTGCATGATATGCACTGGACTGCTGACCATAGGAGTTCGTCTCAGAAACCATATGGGCACTTCTACTCTGTCCTACAGGGTCACTGTAAGTCAGAATGGACTCGACAGCAGTGAGAGAGAAAGATATACAGCCTCAGAAACCCTAGAGGGTCGCTCTGGGCTGGAATCAACTCAAGGGAAGTTGGGTAGGTAGGTGGACTTCCTCCAGGGAAGAAATCGTAATGAGAACCTTTTTTCACTTATACTGTGATGGTGATTAAACTCACTGTCATCGAAGTCAATTCCAACTCATTGCTGCCCTATAGCTCAAGGTAGTACTGCCCCTGAGGGCTTCTGGAAACTCTAATTCTTTACAGGAGTAGAAAGCTCAACTTTCTCACCAGGAACAGCTGGTGGTTTCAAACTGCTAATTCAAAGGTGTACAGCCTAATGCATAACCACCATACCACTAGGGCTCCCTGGTGGCACAGTGGTTACCCATTGGGCTGTGATCCTCAAAGTAGGCAGTCTGAAACCACCAGCTGCTCCTCAGAAGAAAGACTGCTCCTGTTAAGACACACAGTCTCAGAAACCCAAAGGGACAGTTCTACCCTGCCCTATAGGGTCATTATGAGTTGGTATCAACTTGATCGCAGTGAAATCATTTTTCTTTTGTTTGATGGTGATTACCATAGAGAGTCAATCTTCTGCTGGAAAGGATAACTAGCAAGAAGTAGCTAAAAGAAAGGCAGGGAGAAAAGCAAGCGAAACAAGAAACATAAACAAACGTAATTACCTACAGATTAGATAACTAGGCCCTAACTGCAAGATAAAACACTACAGAAATATGAAACGGGAAATCTACCTGGATCTGAATGGGGACCAGGCAAGAGCCAGGCCTGCCTCCCAGCCTACCTGTTCTGCCAGCCAGGCAATGTGCTTGACTTCCTTACTGCCTCCTGCTGTACTGGTGGCACCAAGCATGGCATTGAGTTCAGCCAACACCTGTGGGAGGAGAGCCATTATGTTGGTGTGGATAGCTACGAACCAGGAGTGGGCTGTGGCCGTATCTTTGCACCGGAGGATCAAGGTGTTCCTGCTGTCAGGAGAATGCAGCTCTATCAATCTGTGTGGAAAAAGAAAGAAAGAAAGAAAAAAAAAAAGGTGAGCTAGATCAGAAGTTATCCAACTTGCCTGGGTTTCTACTTACACTACTCCAATTCCTCTTGACTTTTTACATTCCTAGAATAGAGGTACTTCCTCTCAGTTCCCTAGAGTTCATTTCCAAAGAAAACCACGTGTGTGAAGATAATCACCAGAAAGACTAAATGCTGGGTCTGCTGTGTCAATGTCATGACCTGTTTGTTGTTCAGTCTCGAGTAGAACATTTCATCTTGCTATCAAAACAGAACACAGACATGTGGAACCTTATAGACAAATTGTGAAGAATTGATATGTTAAAAATTCTTTATTTAAATAATGCATAGATTTGGGGCCATGCTGCCAGCATATTCAAGACTACAGTAGAACGCACAGGGGGCAAAGTTCCGGAAACCTCTTAACCATAACCAAACAACTTGAGGGGATAAATTGCTGGGCCCGGGGGCTCAGGATTATAGTCTCAGGGTATACCGAGGTCAATTGTGTGTGTAACATAGTTCACAAAAAACAATGTTCTTTCTTTGGTGAGTAGTGACTAGAGTCTTCAAAGCTTGTAAGCAGACATCTAAGGTCCAACTATTGATTTCTCCCTGTCTGGAGGAAAGCAGAGGGAAGAAAATTGAAAGACACATGGACACAAATGAGTCCAATGGGCTAATGGACCACACAAACATCAGTCTCTACCTGAGAGCCTGGAAGCAGATGGGCTAGATGGTGCCGCCAACTGCTCTGAAAGGACCACATTAAAAGATTCCAGAATAGAGTAGGAGAGAAATGTGGAAGAAAACTCAAAAGTCAAAGAACCAGCCAACCAAAACAAAACAAAACAAAACACCAGGCTTACTGGTCAGACAGAGCAAGAGGCCCTGAGACTATGGCCCTTAGTCACCCTTCAGGCATGGAATGCAACTTATCCCCACGGCTCAATTGCCAAATAACACAGGCTTATAAAGGGAACAAAAACAGGAGTGAGGGACACACTCTTTGGAATAATCACCTCCTTGAGATCAAGAGGCAGTAGCATCTGCCCAAGGCCAAAATTCAGAAGGCCTCCCGAGTTAGGAAAGCAGAGGAATAGAAAACCCAGGAACGCAGGAGGAATAGAAAGGGGAACTACAGGGAGGAAGGAGAAGGGCTGTTACACTGATTATCATCAAGGACAAGAAACACGTGTGAGGGATGGTCTGGAAAACGACTTGCTCTTTAAACTGGTAAAGAGGCTTCTTCAGATTAAAATAAAACAAACCACTACTGCCAAATAATGAACTGATATTTCCACTGTGCGAAGAAAACAGAGACCTGTATAAGGATTTACTCTTTATAAAAACATTGTTGAACACCTACTATATGCCAGGTTTTGTGGTGGGGAGTGGGGAAAAAAGGCATAGCCTCTACCAGTACTGAGTTTATGGTCTAATCAGGGCTAACCAAAAAAACTGGACAGTTAATAAACACACAATTCCAAGTTACAAAAATGTGTGAAGGGCTATGATGCCTACTATGAAGTGCTTGCCTGAAAAATCAGAAAAGGAGGCAGTGTTTTCACAGGATCTAGCATCCGGTTTGATAGAGACGAAACCCGCTGTCACCAAGTTGATTCCAGCTCTTAGGGACCAACGTGGGCAGCACAGAACTGCCTCAGTGGGATTCCAAAGCTCTCTCTCTTTATTTTTATGGGACCAGACTGCCCCATATTTCTCACACAGAAATGCCGGGGGGTTCAAACTGCTAACCACCCTTGGTGAGAAGCCCAGCGCCTTAACCAGAGCACCATCAAGGTTCCTGGTTTTGAAGAATCTAGTATTTCAAATCTTCAAATATAAGTCCAATCAAGCTTTCCGAGCTGCTGGGGGCACCCTGGATGTGGGATGTACAATTTGTTAGCTGCTGGCCACATACCATTATTGAGTATTGGGGATGTGGGGAATGTAATTTTGCTTAATGTAAATCTAGGCAGTCACAAGTGACTTGTGGCCATCACGGTAGGCAGCACAAATCCAGAGAGCCTTAGAGGTCATACCTCTCAGACTGTGAGGTGCTGAGAAAAAAGGGTTCCACCTTGAAACCTATTTGAAGAGGGCTACACAGTACCCTAAGATCCCCTGGAGGCCACTTCCAACTCGAGAGAGGTTCTGACAAGTCCTGTAGTAAAGAACACAGCTAGACTGTGTCTCATTCAGCAGTCCCTCAATTTGTTTAGGGGATACCTTTTGACACGTAAGAGACCTACGGACTGTTCTTTGTGGAGGAGTACTGATGGAGTCAATCACCACAGTACAGAGTGGGAAACAAGGCCTGGGGAGGTGCCTTCTCCAGAGATGAGGAGTCCCTAGGCCTAAAGGCTCTCTGGAGACAGAAGCAAAGCACAAGGGAGCACAACCTGCTGGGCCCACATACCAAGTTGGGTCTCGGACTGTCACACTACTGTATACATTTACCTACCCTATACACCTACTCAGGCCCTTCCTGGCCCTCCCACTGAACATGAATCAGGGGTGTGAGTAGCCTTGCTATCATGCAGAGTGCATTGGAAAGTGGATTACGACACATGTAGCTAGGTTAAATGTAATACCTTATCATTTGATTTCCCTTTTGACACATTTTACAATTGTTCTAGTTTTTAATGTGTTTTCTTTTCTTTTCGATTGAGGCTTTTCTCTATTTCATTTTGTTACTGTTGTTAGCTTTGTTTGCTTCTTTTTGTTTTTGAATGTTTTTTCATATATGAAATCACTGATGGGTGAGTCTACACAGATAGTAACTGGATTAATGATTTCTTGGGGATATGGCAGAGGAGGTTGAGGAGGAAATGAGAATAACAAAGAATAAAGAAAAAGAAAATAGTCTAAAATTGACTGTGATAATGATTGCACAACTATTCTTAATATGACTGAACTATTAAATTGTATGACATGTGGATCATGTCCCAATAAAACTGCTATTATTATTTATTATTATTATTTTTAAAAGATGAACCTAAGGAGTCCTGGTGGTGCTGCCTAGTGTTAGACTGCTAACTGTAAGGTTGATGGTTCAAAACCACCAGCAGCTCCTTGGGAGAAAGTTGAGGCTGTTGGCTATCATAAAGATAACACAGTATCAGAACCCCTATCGAAGGTTGCTTTGAGTTGGAGAAGGCGCGCAGGTTGGGTTTCTAACTGCACAGTCAGCTGTTTGAATCCACCAGCCATTCCAAAGGAGAAATAAGCAGCTTTATACTTCCACAAAAATGTACAGTTCAGAAACCCATAAGAGCAGCTCTACTCTGTCCTATAGAGTCACTAGGAGTTGGAACTGACTTGATGGCAATGCATCTGGCTTTAGTTTTATCCATTTGTTACAGGAAGACTTAAAATACTCAACACATCCTATAGCAAAACACTGCATGAAAAGATATGGAGAATCATCTCATCATTCTGATGAGTTAATAAGTGTGAGGAACTATTCAAAAAATCATTTAAGTAGCTAAACATTAGAGTGAATTTATTTGATAAGTAGTTATCTACAAAGTATAATACCAGATTAAGTAATGCATAAATAGAGCTAAGGCAAATTATTTTACACTTTAGACTAATCTTAAAGAAAAGGTATTTTCTAGGACTTCCTGGATGAGATGGCAATTGAAGGCACACATCTAGTCTTGTTCCTCCCTGAAGCCCCACTACAACCACAGGCGAAAGGGCTGTCAGGAAGCTGAAGCCTACAAGTTCAGGGAGAAGAATGACTGCCTAACAACTTTGGGAATTGGAAAGCAGAGGATGTGTGTGAGTTTGCTGAACTAAGACCATGGAATCCCTGAGGAGTGAAGAGAACCAAACCCCAGGCAATGCTACGGAAACTCTCAGAGGCTGAGGGACTGAAGGCACCTTGGAAAAGGGGAATAAGGAACAAGGTTATTCCCCATTCCCAGCAGCCAGTGACTTTCCGACCTTCACCTCAGCCAAAGATCCACCCTCAGCTCACGGAACTGGGTGGGAGAGGGCCAACACCAGGCTCCTCATTTTCCTCCAGGGGCTGTTGATTCCACCTGGTGCCTTTGGCACTGCAACCAGCTTAACATCCTTTCCACACATGCTAAAAGTTCAGTCCCAGAACCATGACGAGAAAGTCCCCTCCCTCCTCCCACTGACCTACTTAGCACTAAAGACAGGAATCAGTTTATCCTTCTCTAGGCACACAAACTTCACCTTATGAAGCCTCTCACGGCATACAGCTCCTGGGGCACTCTCACAGGGCTGTCTCCTTCAACACAGCCTAACTCCTGAACGTATTTGTATTAGTAATTCCATGAGAAATATGTCTGTGATAAAATTAGAACGATAAAAGGTGGTGCATATGGAGATCACGAGGCTGAAGAATGATGAAAATAAGCATGAAGTTAGTGTCCAGGCTAGGGCCATTGGTTTTCCACAAGGGAAAATTTGGGTAGTGTTTCTCACAAAGGGATTGTGAAATAAGACATCAACTTAAGTAAGCAGTCACAGAAAATAAACCCCAAAATAGGATTCATGATCTCAGAATCTAGAAGATTGTGCTGTGGTAGAAGTCTCTAAATCTGGTAATGGGTACAGAGTAATTTCTGAAGTCTATGTCTTTTAGAACAGCAACAACAAAAATTATTCTGTTAATAAAAAATAGGGAGGCAGTCTGCTAGTCAGTTTTAGAGCCCATGGGAGAAAGAAGCAGCTACAATATGAAGAACATTGGCCTCTAGTCAAACCACTGAAGCTTCCTGAAAAATAAATATTTTGACCAGATGAATTCGATCAATGGTGAAGTACACATACGCGAGCATAGATTCTCTAATCTAGCCTACTTAACCTTTTTACGTTTTGACATACTTCAGTGATCGCTTAAGTAATAATCATCATATAGTTTTGTCAGAAAGTCAAAATTTCTATTTTACATGGAAACTAGCCAGTGTGAAGATGAACCAGGCCAAAGGAAACTGATTTACATTTCCGG